AAAAAAAAAAAAAAAAAAACAAACAAACAAACAAAACAAAACAAAACAAACAAAAACTAAAACTGAGTGCCTGAGGCCAGAACGCTGAGTCCCTGAGTCCCTGAGGCCAGGGGCCTAGGGGTCCTTTGGTGTGAAACTTGGCAAAAGGCGGTATTTTTGCTGGCAAACTACCGGAACCCGATAAAGCTGCAACGAAACCTCTATTTATTTTTGCAAAGAAAACTTCGAACGGACGACATTTTTGCTGCCAAACTTCGAAACAGCACCATTTTTGAAATTAACCCTATTTTTGTTTGCCTTTGTGAACTCAGAACCTGCCGCGTCCGCTGTTTCTCTTCCGGTTTTTCTCCTTGTGGGTCAGTTGCTGTGATCATTTCTGAATCTTCTGCATCAAATTTGTCGACTTGGCCCTGACAAAAACAATTTAAGATCTGCTTGTGTGTGTGTATTGGGGAGTAGAGATATTTTACCCTCTCTCTCTCTCTCTCTCTCTCTCTCTCTCTCTCTCTCTCTCTCTCTCTCTCTCTCTGTGTGTGTGTGTGTGTGTGTGTTTTGTTTTCTATTTTGTTTTGTTCTTTCTGTCTCTTTGCAGATCGGTGGACGTGGTAATCTCAAACTGCGTCATCAACTTGGCCCCAGACAAAAGGCCCGTTCTTTCAGAGATTGCACGTATTCTGAAGCCCGGGGGAGAACTTTACTTCTGCGATGTGTTTTCAGACAGGCGGATTCCGAAGCACCTGTGCGATGACAAGGTCTTGTTTAGCCAGTGCTTGTCAGGAGTTCTCTATGTGAAGGATTTCTTCAAATTGATGCGCGAGGTCGGACTGGCGGCATGGGGAGTCGTCAACCATTCCATCATCCGTATCGACAACGAGAAGATTTTGAAACTTCTTCGAGACATCACTGGCTACAGCCTTACAGTGCGGGCCATCAAGGTGGACCCAATCAAACTGAAAGATGCGCTAGAGGACTTTGGACAGGTAAAGAAGTACCCCCATATAACTCCTACTCCTCTACACCCCCCCTCCTCCTCCTCCTCCTCCTCCTCCTCCTCCTTGCTTCTTCTTCTTCTTCTTTTTCTTCTTCTTCTTCTTCTTCTTCTTCTCCTCCTCCTCCTCCTCCTCCTCCTCCTCCTCC